CCAAACCACCTCAAATGGCCCAAAATACCTAATCCAACCTAAAACTTAAAAAAATTTCAAAAACAAAAAAAAAAATTAAAATCCGGCCCGGGCCCGAACCGGCCGGGCCGGTTCACCAAAACCTGGGCCCGGGCCCGAACCGCCCAGCAGCCGGGCCGGGCCGAACCGAACCGAGGGACCCACCGGGTCCCGGGCCGGGCCGGGCCAAACAGTAACCGGGCCGGGCCGGTTCCGGGCCGGGCCGCCCGGCCCGAGTCCAGCACTAGTTCCACCCTATATTGTAGGGATGACTGAGGCCAATTCAGGTAACTGTGAGTAAGTTACAAAAGCGTTTAATGTTAATTCCATTTCCCCTCATTTTTATTTCAATATTATTTCAACGAGATGTATTTACGAAATTTTGTATAGAAATGTACGGAGTATCAGCTAGCATTCATTACACATTCGGGCATTCATTACACATTCGAACATTCCTACTCAAATTATCTGTCCAGTAAACTCTAAGCTGCAATAAATTACTGCGTATAAGAACATCCGTAATGGTAATATGGATTGCTAGACAATACGTTGCTACGTGAGCAAAATAGACAGTCCAGTTAAATTTTACTCTCCAATGGAAGTATGGAACTGTCTACATTTTAAGTGGTGCTGAGTTGGAATAGATAACCGTCCACAATTTCTACTCTTCCTTCTAATTGTAGAAGGCGTGATAGACATGATGAGTCAGCCACAAAAGAATTTTTTTCAATATAAAATTCGACGGAAATGTGAAAATTCCGGCAAAACTTAACTTATTTAATTGAAATAATAATTATTTAACTCAACTTTGGAGTTTTGCATCTTCCGAAGCCCCTGGGAATGCCACATTTTCTTGGCATCTTCTTCAAAGTGGTAGCAATCAAGCAATTTCTCACAACCAGAGAGCACACCAGTGTAGAAGGAATTAAACTCACGGTCTGACAACCTTTGGAATCTGGTCGCAGCCCGTTGTCCTCCGGCACCGACCCTGTAAATAGGATCGATGTGAGGCCTCGTCGTCGCCACCAAGCTTGGTCCACCGGTACCGAATGCGAGGCCTCGTCTTCCCAAGTCGGGTGGATCTGGCCATCTCCTCTATTGCCATTGGGATCATATGATGATTGCTTCAGTTTCAAGTTCTACCCGGTAAGGCAGCAACGATGAAACAAAATTGGTTAAATTGGATTGAAGTAGCGGTCGTTTGGTTCGCGTGTACCGTCGCCGGCAATTACCTCGGATTTCCTCCTTGTGTTCTAGAGTTCTTGTGAAATACTCCCTCCATATTTTTTTTGTTTGCTATACTTTACTTTTTTTTAGATGTATTCAAAAATTTGCTACACTTTCCCCTTTTGATACGTTTTTCCTTTAATAATAATCAACTACCCTTATTTTTCCTACTTTTTATCTTCTCTTTCATACTTTTCCACCATCTCTCTTACTTTTTCTACACTATTCATTACCTCTACTATTTTACTCTTAAAAAATGTGGTAACATCTATTGTGACAAATAAAAAAATACGGAAGGAGTACAATTTTCCACATCTCCGTTGCTTTGGAGAAGAAAGAAAAACAACGATAAACAAAATGTTTTTATTTAGAGAAGGCCTCAAAGATATTTACTCATAACCACTTCATCGTTGGAGATGTAATTTTAATTTTAAATGGATGTGTATCCATGTCAGCTTCATGGCCGTCTACATTGATGATGTGTCCATTTATTTTGGGGTACAATTCATATCCTCATTAAAGATGCTCTAACTGTATAAGATACATAGATGCGTAATGTTACATCCATATACTTTTATAGTTTTCTTTTAGGGAAAGTTCCCGAAATAGGACTAAATAGTTTGAAAATTTCAAATAGGTATGCCATATTTTTTATTCCCAAAATAGGAAAATTACTGCCAAGTTTGGAAAATACTGTCATGTTTGAAGTTTGGTATTACCAAAACATGACAGTAATTAGTCCTATTTTGGAAATAAAAATATGACAGTCCTATTTTGAAATTTTCAAACTTGTTAGTCTTATTTCGGGTCATATTCTCTTTTCTTTAATATTTGCTCATTTTATCATTACTCTAACGGCCTGTATGGATTGAGTGTTGGGGAATGTTGACCTTAACACTTGTTTGGAGAGATTGAAAAAAAATTTGGATGTTAGTGAAGGTTTGGAAGTGTTAACCATAACCTTCCTAACACCTTTACCTTTCACCTTTTTAACACTCCAATTTGGGGTGTATCGAGGTGTTAGACAATTTTTACCCTTCAATATTTTTCTCCGTCTACGGTTCTACGTTCTACCTCTTCTCTCCTGCCTCACCTGCGCTTCACTGTTTCTCTTTCATGGCTTCTTCTCCTTCTGCGGGGTAGTCTCCACTCATCTTTTTCGATCTCTCAAGTCTTCTACTCTTCTTTATATTTTGGTACTAACGACTCATAGAGTCATATGCTCTGTTTTTTATATTGACTCGGATTTGGGCTAAAATAGTGCAATTGATCTTTTTATTTATTCCTCAGAATATTGGCTCTGGGATTTTGGCTATATATGCATCTCCGATCAAGAGAAGGATATGGGGTTAAGCTTTGTGCCTCACATGCTCTTCTTTGATTTCTCTTTTTTTTTAGGTGTTGGGTTGAAAGAATTTTAGAAAGATATTGTGAAAAAACAAGGATACTTTTGTCCATTAAGTGAAAACACTTCCTTTACTAACACTCCACTTTTTTAACTCTTCCAAACATGGTTAATTTATACTCCATGATGGTCCTGAACTTTCTTCTTGCTGATAATTGATAAACTTTCATCATCTTTGTATGTACTCTGTACTTAACACTTACACTTATCATCTCTTCTGGGCCCCTATCAACACTTACTAACACTTCCATTATTAACATATTTTAACACTTCATTAAAACAGGCTCTAAGTTCTAACTCCCCCACCCCCACTCAGTTATAATAATTTTATACGGAGTAGCTTTTATTCAATACAATTGTTTGTTTACAAATAAAAGATAAAATATGCTAATTTTATATTAAAAAAAAACATTTTGTATTAGAAATATGCCTATCTCATCATTTAGATTTTAGATGTACCATGCACATTGATAAGTTTGTATTTTGAAAATACTAATTATTCCATCCTTGCTAAACTAACTATTCACTATTGTTTTAGCATTAAAATATCCTCTTGTCGTTGAGAATTTTGTGCTGATCTCATTTTTTTTGTTAACCCGTCTTATCAAATGCTTTGGAGTGCAATTGTTGTTATTTTGTTGTTTTGCCGTGATGTATTGATAAAAAATACTCGTTATCAAATACTTTTGTGATTTGAAAAAAAATAAAATGCATTAAATGGTGAAAGTTCGTAGGGATAAAAGTCTTTTTATAATGTACCCTAATATGCATACATTTTTCTTGAACGTTAATTAAATTGAACATGGAATAATTGGAAAAATGGTCAAATAAACTCATCTACTATTGTCAAAAGATCCCGTAAACTAAAAAATCAATCAGATAGATACATCTACTAGTAAATAACAATCATATAGATCACATGACCGGATACCAACCTCCTATAGCAAGTTGGTGGTACGGATTCTAGTTTTTCTTTTCCTCTTTCGGTTTTGTTCTTCTCTGAAGCACAGTAGCACACTCCACGTCCCACACATCTGGTTGTTATTTTACTCTGTATTTTATTTCTCTTTTTTTTCCTTCTTTGTCGCACCACTATTTCCCTAATTTGTTGTCTTTACTTTTTTTTCATCCTAGCCATCCAGCGATTTGTATCTTCTCAACTTTTGCTCTTCCATTTTGGACGTTTAGGTGCCAAAATGGAGATGATTATTGTAGAAACTTTTTGACTGAGTTAGTGTAGATGATTATTTTAACTATCTTTACACATTCCATTTATTTTATTAATAAAGTATATTTTAAAAATAATTTTTCTTAAATCAGCAGAATCAGCCAATGAAGCCACTTCAGTCAGAACTTCAGAAATTTTAGCAAAATCAGCCAAATTAACCAATTTTCGTGCTACCAAACGGGCTCTTTATCACTATTATGTTCCTATTTCCCTATTCTTTCTTTATTTTTATTTTTATTTTAGCATTTTCTTCTACTTTTTCTATTTATTTTATTTTTCTCGTTTCTTCTTCCTTCCTTCTTAGAATACGTTAATTAAATTTCTTTTCAGTCTCAAACCGGATTTACTATTAACCATCTTTCTCTGACGTTTTTAGCGGCGTGACCCTCTTGTGATAACGGAATTCAAACACATGAACCACTTTGATAAAACAGGAAACACATGACCCTATCTGAAAACGGGCTCAACCACAAGAATCTTTTCCGTACATTTCCCTAGAAAAAAAAAATATCAGTCTAAAAATCCGCTTTTACATATAAAAAAAATGTGACACAAAAAGTGTACATATATTTTACCATGTCTGAAATATTTTTCGTGTGTACCAAACATTTGTTGTCTTCAAAATAGGACTTTTCTGATCCATATTTTCTGCCTATGGCCTAACTTTACCTACAAAGATATTGATACAGTTTTTTTTTAAACGTGAGCAAAAAGTATACATTTTTTTTATCTAGTACGAAATATATACATTTTTTTGTGCCACGCTATTATTTTCTATTGATTTTGAATTTTACAACCAACATTTTTGTCTATGTCTAACTTTAGAGAAAATAAAAATAGAAATTGTTTGGAATGACAGGATGAAGAAAACGAAAAAGGATTGTAGCTAGAAGATCGTCCCAGATCTAAGAAAGAAAAAAAATTGAGACACAGTAAATAAAGAAACAAGGAGTGTGGTGATTAAAGAAATAAGGAAAGAGAAAAATAAACTAAATGCTACTCCGTACTAACTTGCTGGAAGAGGTTGATTGCCGGTCACTTTGGTCTATTTGATTGTTTTTGACTACTAAAAGCACCTGTATTTTTTGGTAGAGGGACTTAGATGACTTTTTCACGATAGTACACGGGCTCATTTGACCCTTTTTCCTGGAATAATTTATTGTCTTGGAGATCAAACTCACTCATCACAGTTAAAAAAAAACTCACTCATTACAGTGCTTGTAATCATAATTCTAGTTCATCAACGCACCTAAGCAAGAATATAAGCATCAAGTAAGTAAATAAAAAAGCAAGACAAAAGGAAGAAAATAAAGAAGCTAAGGTTACAACAATAATATTACAACAATTAAGTCAAGGATCTTCTTAGATAACAAGTATGTGTCTTGCTATGGTTTATCTGTACCATCACTTTACTGCAGTTTCTTGGAGCTAAAAGAGCAATTGAAAAAACCAGAGGAACACGTATAGACTGTTAAAACATACTTCTTTGTTGATTATACTTAAAGTTGGACTGGGTAAAATTATTTAAGTTGGACTGGCTGAAATTCCATACCTCATTTTTTTTGTCGACGAGGACTGTTTGGCATAGTAGTAGGTGTGGCCTCTTATGAATCTTCAGAAACCCGAGCCTCGGACTTCTCATTGGAATAACTGCAGTAAATTATAAAGCATGAATCAGACATTGTCATAGTTTCGTTTCACATGAGATTTATCACTGAATATTGTCTGAATAAATCCATCCTGCTGTTTCACATTAACTGAGACGTTTAAAGGATTACGTGGCTAAACACAAAGGTTAAGAAACTCATTAAAAAATCTACCTCAAAAAAGGAAATTCGTCAAATATCCTAAAATGTTAATACAAACGAAAAGTAGTACTATTAGTTGTTAATTTAATATACATGGGTTGGTTTTTCATGTACTATTACTAAAATAGAATTCATGACAGAAATATGATTACATGGTCAGTTAGCATCATGATCACTGTAATGTAGAATTGAAATACCAACATGCCACCATAGTCATGGCCAAAATACCCTACTCAATTCGTATTACAAACATAGATTTGTTCATTATTCTTATATCAGTCAATTATTTGTCTTTGTTTCTTTGATCTACACTGAGGCGTAGATGGGAAAATTAAAAAAATTGGCATTCCATAAACTCTAGAATAAGATGGAATAAAGCAAAATGGTTCACTACACTGTCTGCGCTACTTTGTTATGAATAGTCCATGCAATTTTCGACGGGAGTTTCACTATGGGTCATTCAGGAAACAGTCTTTGTGTGCTTTAATACAGGGGTAAGGCATCGTACATTCGAGCTCCTTTACCCCAGTGTAGGTGGGAGCCTTTGCAGCACTGGGGTAATGATGATGATGAATAAACTCTTGACATTTTTATAAATCAACCGCTAATAAGAAACGAAGTGTAAACTAGAAACAACATTTATTTTGAAATGGAGAGTATTCTACGGCATATCCTTACGTCGAGAGTATAGTGACCCACACAAGTTCAACACAGTCTACCCACAGAAGCCTTTGCTCCAACGGGATCACACCATAAGTGATCAGATGAGCAAATGGCCAAAGCTTCCATCCAGCCTGAAACAATTTATAACCAAAATAATTTGTCTCCTATACCCATTTACTCACATGGAATCTCATGCATTACCCAAAATAATTAATGATGTTTATCAATCACATAATGTATGGGTAAGACTGCGTACATCCAACCCCCCTTACCCCACCCGTAGGTGGGGAGCCTTTGCGGCACTGGGGTGAATGAAAATGAAAAAAAATGATCAATCACATAATGCAAAAAAAATTTGAAAGAAAACAATTGCATAGTATTTTTTACTTTCATACTAAGCCAAACATTTTTCTCACCGTCAGCATGGGCCAATATGTGGATCGGAGCTCGTTAAAAATGTTGCTAGGGGATTCAAAACGCAAGAAGCCCAGAACGACATAGTAGATGCTGTTCCAAACTGAAGACCATATGGTTTGGTCAAACATAACTTTGGCAGGAACAACCCACCAACTATTGAACGGGAAGAGAGCCTGTGAGATAAAGCCAAATCCTTTTTAGCAATTTAAAATTTAAGGATAATAATAAGGGCTGGCATAGGTTCAGGGAGTTGTTTAGAGAATAGTAAAACTTTCTCAAACTTACCGCCAACTCTTATTACACCTTTTCACTTAGGGGTAAATTTAAGAAAATTTTACCATCCCCTGATCTTGTCCCTGCATATATCATTATCCAAATTTGGAAGGTGTGAGAATGGGCTGACTTAACATAACTGAATCACAACCATTACCTCACAAAACTGGTAATAATAGTGAGAGAGAGATCCATGAAGTGAGAATCCAACAAGGCCAGACCTGAACATGCGTGTCCGGTCAAAATCAAGAAGAGGTTTCCCTTCATAACACTTCAAGCCCATAATAAGAGCATAAAATTAGAGGGAAAATAAAAATGGCTGTTCACATGACCATATAATAAGGAAATGAAAAATCGGGTTTGGAAATTACAGATGAAAGAAAGGCATACTTGTGCAATCCAATCTCCGAGAGAATAAACAATGCCACTAATCACCATTTTAGCTAATACAGGGTTTGCTTTTAGAGCCTCTTCATAAGCAATCCAATTATGCTCTGGGGCATACCTCAAGACTTCATAAAGGGTCCATCCCTGAGTCCCAAACAAAAACGAAATTTTCATTTTCTTTAATTCAGAACTGTCTATTCCTTTCATTTCAACACTTCAACTCATCGCAACAAAGGTATGGCATTTGAAATTGGCATTTGAATTGAATCAAGTAGACCTTTCTAATAGAGCAAAAAGAACACAATAAGGTACAGTTTGTTTCCGGGTGAGCTTAGATTCTTTCAAGTTTAATTCTAGTTTCACCACGTTTGTTTACCATTTTATGATAAGAATCTAAATATTTCACCTTGGAAATTCTCAGAAAATCTTGGATGATCCTTTTTTTGACAGCCTCTGGAAGTACGAATAGAATATTTTCCAAGTTAGGTTCTCTAATTGTTTTAATAAGTTCAGCTAGTTCGAAACAAGCTTACAAGCTTTTACTCTATTGATCTATTCAACTAATAATTATACAAACAGAATTTTTATGGATGCATTCAGTTCATCCTATCCAACCTACTAAACCTATGTTCAAGGGATTTACTTAAGTCTATCAAACATTCCAAAGAGAGGTTTGGGGATGATGAAGTGAACCCCTTTCTTAAACTAAACAGAAATTTCAGCTGAATTTACCCAAAAATTAGAATAAACCAAATTTCAAATTCCCAATTTCGAAGGGTAGTAACTCACTTTCCAATAGTCATGATCAATGGTAAGCAGCTTAGTGATGGCGAGAGTACCAGCACCTAGAACAATTGCAGCATTAAGAAACCGATCTCTGTCGGACAAATTCGACACGGTCTCATTTTTTATCTTCTCCGACTTTGACTCTCCGGGAGCTTTCTCGTCATCTCTTTCAATGCTCTCTGCAGAGCCCAGTTCTCTATCTTCAGCCACGGACTTGAGTCGCCGACGGGAAGTGGGTTTCGGTAACAGCAGCGAGGTCAAAGAAGCCGTAGAAGTGCTTTGATCGCATAACTGGGCGGAATTGAAGGGAAGGGTCCGAGGTTTCACGGCTTCAAAGGCGGAGATTTTTGCGGGTGAAGGGAGGAGATGGGCAGTGATGGTGCTGAGCGCCGACATCCTTGGTGGTGGTGGACCGGTAGCGGCGCGTGGACGTAAGTGACTAGCTAAAGTAAAACAGTCTTATAAAATTGGTTGGGTTGATGGGAGAAAAAAAAACAGGAAATAGATCCTGGAGTCAAAGAAATGAAAATATAAAAATGAAAGGTTCCACCGAGACTTGAACTCGGGTTACTGGATTCAGAGTCCAATGTCCTGACCACTAGACCATGGAACCATACTGCTCCTTAAATCGCTTCACAATATAAACATATAAAGTACAAATAAACAGAAACCCCACAAACGTGCGAGTGATTTGTATTTTGTAAATGAATCATTATTTTGGAGTTGATTCATGATTCAAATTCGTGTATTATTGTTTGAATTCAAAAAACACGATTGAGAATACAAATATCAATATATCAATAGTAACTTCTATTCAAACATTTACCAAATATAAATATCTATATTGATTTATTTGATTCAAAATTTATATAAATATACTCGAATAATAGTAGTTATAATAATAAAAGTTGTAGTAGTGATAACAACACTAACAATTACTAATAATACTAGTACTCCCTCCGTCCCGCTATTAACTTCCTACGTTGACCTACACACATATTTAGGAAATAAATTTGACTTTACTGTTTAGACATTGTTTGACACTGTTAAAACGCTGTTTGGTACTGTTTGACACTGTTTTGCACTGTTTTGATGTAGATAACTTTCCATTTAGGGAAATGAGAAGATGATTTTGGGACAGCCCAAAAAGAAAAGCAGGAAGTAAATAGCGGGACGGGGGAATATTAGTAATAATAATGATAAATGTAGATGTTAGATTATTAATTACACAATATACAAAGTCCATCTCATATACACTTTGCACTACTAATATCATCAACTATTAAAAGCACACTTCCGTTTTTAGTTTATTGGTTCTCAGATTTTAGTCACTAATCGTTATTCATAATTGTTTTATAATCCACATGCATGTTTCTTATTTAATTATAAGTAATATTACAATTTAAACATTTTATATACGTAGTACTGTGTATATTATATAATAAAATTATGAAAAAATAAAATGATGATATATCCAAATATAATATTCGAATATAATCAAATATATTCGAAAAGTTAATGAAATGAAACACAATATTCTTTTATGCTCGAATACTAAACAAATGTATTTCAATTCGAGCAGAGTTATCAAATGAGAGAACCCTAAATAAGAGTAAAAAAGTTTTGAAATTCCAAAATAGGAGTATCATGTTTTTATTCCCTAAATAGGAGTAAATTTCTGCCAAGTTTGGAAATTACAAGGCTTTAAACATGGCATTTTTTTCCAAACTTGGCAGATTACTCCTATTCAGGGAATAAAAAACATGATACTCCTATTTTGAAATTTCAAAACGTTTTTACTCCTATTTAGTGTAATTTCTGTTATCAAATTCAAATTGAATAGAGGGATTTTCGACTCGATATATATTTTCAAATTGATTGTTTGATTTGTTATGTGTTCGAACGCACATGTATGATCATCAATAATTCAATCAGATGTAGTAATTGTATTAAAAATTTGACTAAAGGGTTAAATAGGCCCTCGAACTAACTTAAGAAGTGCAATTAACTCCATATATAGAAGATTCTATCCAGCCGTCGCCAATTGGGGTGGTTCCCGATGAAATTTTTTGATGAATTTTTTTGAACATCTTCTTCATTAAGCCCAATTTACTCATGCCAAATTTCAGCTAAAAATTCAATCTGAAAGGCAGTCAAATGAATTTTTTTTGAAGATAACTGTGCAGTTAAACAGCGCAGTACATTTAAGAATATCATTTGAGTGTCTTCCCGGTTGCATGTTTATCTGAAATTTGGTATGAGCAAACTAGACTTAGCAAAGAAGTTGCTCAAAAAATTTCATCAAAAAATTCCACCGGGAACCGCCACAATTGGTGACGGCCGGACAGAGACTCCTATATAAAGGGATAATTGCACTTTTTAAATTAGTTCAAGAGGGTCTATTTGACCCTTTAGCCTAAAAATTTAGACATAGCTGTCACTTAAACATTAAGCCTCTCTTGATGTCTATGATTTATCTAAACCTAAACTCAAATATGTCTTATTAATCTTTCTTAAATTTGCTTGAACTGCCTAAAGTCCGTATAACAATTTTAGGATATCACCAAGGTCCTAGAACATTACGGCTATGTTTGACGAGCCATATAAGCTCAAAAAGGGCGGGAAAATTTAAAATCCAGTCAATTTCAATAAAATTAGTCTTGTTTGTTTGAAGGACTGGATCGGGCTTGAACTGAAATAAATGGGCTGAAGTGAAATGTTTAGAAGGGGAACGTTTGTATTCAGCATTTCAGCCGCTCCTTTCTAGACCCTTTATTCCGATATATCCTTCTTCCATCGGAAAACCTCTGTGCTCTTGAAGGTGCAAGACTGCATCACTGCCTCACTGGGATAGCAACAGCGACCCTTGGAGGAAAATTTTGGTTGCTTCAGGGGTTACTTTGTTTAATTGTTTGTGGTATTTTTTTTAATCTAAATTACACTACATATAAATTAGTCTTCCTAATTATATAGGAAAAATTGAAAATAATAATCCCAACTATTGCCGGTCCGCTGAAAATAATCTCAACTATTGATTATTTTTGTATAATCTCAACTATATAGACTATCCACCAATAATGGTCCATAACCAAATATTACCTCTATAAAAAGTGAATTTTAAATAGAATTTAAGCGTCAAAATTAAAAGTTGAGATTATTTATAGGGATAACTTGTTATATCTCATATCATCAACTTTAGAAACTACAAGAATTTATTCATAGGACCAATATTGGCGGAAAGTCCCTAAAGTTGGGATTATTCTGGAATAATCAATAGTTGAGATTATTATGAGCGGACCGCCAATAGTTGGGATTATTACTCTCAATTTTTCCAATTATATAATCCAATACATATACAAATATACTCCGCATGTACTAATTTTTTTTACCGTACATGTAAATAAAAGGCTTTTTTTAAAGATTTTTAAAAATCTGAAAATATAAAAATCATTATAATAAGTATTTTAATCCAATAATAAATAATATGTCCGTTAATGTAATTTCATATTATCCCAGCACTTCTTCAACTCTTTTTGCCAAACAGGTCCACTCTATTTAGCTATCAATTCAGATTCAACACTTCAAATTTCAGTTTCACACAATAGTCTCTGATTCAGACAATAGCCTCTAATTCAGACATTAGTCTCTAGTTCCAACTCGTTGTGCCAAACATAGCCTAAGCAACATGTGTGTCTAATATGTTTTTATTTAGAATATGTATACTTTTATACATAAATAAATCCATACAATGGATATATGACACAATGTCATACGTATTTAAAAAATCAATATCAACTAATAATTGAGTAGGTTGCGAGATTCCAGAGTGAAGTTATTAATTCGGGATCTCAAAGATGAAATGTATTAGCACATGGCCTGAATGATTCAAAACTATCAATCTAGGACCTAAAATTCCACGGATTTTGATTTATTTAATTTGTTAATAATTTCATTGCTATTTTTTATGAATCAGTCTTCGCAAAAGTTTATCAGTTTAATAAATGAAATAGTATTCAATTTTAAAAAGAAGATAAAATTCATGACATGTTATGTCATGGCCTCATAGGTTGATAGTTTTTAATCATTTGGGACCCTATGGACACATTTCATCTTTCAGGTCCCAAATTGATAGCTCATATGTCTTTTTCAGGTTCTGGATTGATAAAATTCTTATATAGTTCGACTTGACTTGATTTGATTCGAATTCAAATACCGGTCAAGCTTGAGTCGAGGCGAACTGGTTTTGAGTTGAAAGTTAGAACCGAATGAATATTGTCGGTTTGCTATCCTTAGGATGTTTTTAATTGGATTGAAATTTTCTGGTTTGATTTGATCTGACCTGTTTAAGTCTGATCTGATAGATATCTAGTATTCCTATGTGTATTTTACAACTGTCAAGGTCTGATTTGGTCTAATCTGTTTAAATTTGGACTGGTCTGGTCTGATCTGTTTAAGTCTGAATTGATTTAGTCTGATATGTGTAAGTCTAACATCATTTATTTAGGTCTTCTTTGGGATTGGAATAAGTCTAAGTAAAAATGCTTATTGTCACATATGGAACATGTGCAAAAAAAATTTAAAAAAGATGTTTTTCAGCTTTTGGCTTAAATAATGTGAAATGAGTATTTTCAAGTGACATTTTCTGCTTAAATGAAGCACTTAAAAGTTTTTTTTTTGCTCGATGAAGCACTTAAAAGTTAAACGCTAGAATCAGGTGGAAAAATGTTTTAAACTGTTTTTCACTTATTCTATTAGAGAAAAAAAATTATTTCATCAAATATTACTAACTTTAACTTTTTCAGAAGTATTTTTTTATCAAACATTACCAACTTTTATTATTAATCAATTTTTCCAAAATCACTTTAAAAAATGTATTAATTAGATATTATGACTAAAATAAAGATTGTTTACAAAAATATGACTAATGAGTAGAGTAGTAATCAAATCATAGTAACTTATATTCAAATTTTAAACTCAAGTTATTATGACGATAGATTATACTAATTATTAATCATATTTGTGTAAATAAGTTTTATTTTGATAATATTTTTGAAAAATATCAAAATCACTTTTGAAAAGTAGAAACATGTAGCATTAACGAATCCAACAAGGCACACAAGGGTTGGAAACTCAATGGATTGAGTTTCAGCCCTGATTACTCTGGGACCCGGCCCCGTCCCTCAGATCCCCTGGAGTAAAATAAAAATCTTTAAAAAAAATGAATAGATTCCATGAATATGAAGTACTTGTCTTATTACATGAATAGCCCGAGTAAACGGACAGAAAAAAGATAAAAAGTTACTACGTACTTCGTACTCCGTATTATTCTTCATATTCAGCAAAGCGACTTTGAGCTGTTTCCTGTGATGCATGTCCGAGTCACCCGGTCTCAGACGCTTCCTTCCCTCCAACTTTTAGCACATACTTTTGACTTTTGAAGTTTTTCATCACACCATTCTCCTATTGCTTACAATATGTTCTTCATCCATCTGTGCTCTGTTTTCTTTATATGTTTTGACCCTGCTTCACTTGTGTGGGTGTGTAAAACCAATCAGACCATTCCACCTAAAATTCCATTCTTCCATTATGCACCCAATTCGAATTTACAGTGCTATGAAGAAAATTTTCTCAGAGAAGCTTTAATCAGTTGATTGAGGGGGAAAGGTGACATTTTGGATCAATGGGTGCTTATGGTTTTGCTGTTTTCTGCTTGAACTTAAAGTTGCTTGTGGGGATTTTCTTCATCTTGTCTGTTCATTCTGAAGATGGGACCAACCCGCAAGATGGTAGGGTTTATTAGATGCTTACTTTATAGTTATCCCCTCCTTTTTCACAATTACTTTGATTGCCTTAAATTGAGTTATTTAGTAAAATTTTGAACTAACTTGTACTCCCAAGACTTTGTGTAGAGAGTATTAATTTTTATTTTTATATTTGTTACTTAGGATCAATATAAGTTTCATTCACTGACACTGTCTAGGAAATATGTTTGGATAAGCTAGGGAAATGAAAGAAATTGGTAATGAAGGTGCTTTCTTAAGTTTGCATTTACCTCAAAGAATGCAAAGGGAAGTGAGATATGATTAAAAAATGGTACACGGTTTTTGGTTTTTTACTTTTATATAATAGAAATAAAGAAATAAATAAAAAGTGTATACCATCAAATATAAAAAATTAATTTGTTGATTTGGAGTTAGTATTCTTTTTTCCTTAACGTTTTTTAAGAAGTAGTTTAGCAACAGGTTGATGTACTCTTGAATATTGTTGTATTATAGACTACTCATGATAAAAAGAAAATTATTGGTTTGGTCCCTCGTTTGTTCCCCTTTCTGCAATGTAGTCTCTAGCTGTAAATTTTGAGCATTCGAAATAGTCAAGGGACCTATAAGTGATTTCCGTTCTACTATAGTTTACGTGAAGAGATTTTAGTTTGTTAACCTTCCTTAATTTCTCAGAAGTTTTAAATTCAAATATACCCCAAAAAAATACTTCATATAAGCGTTAGACTATGAGTGAGTCACAACCTTAAAACCTAGACATGGTGCTCTAACTGGTACAACTCACAGCTAGGAGTGACTTTTACTTTTTACAATGGTGCAGTTGCTGCAATTACTAGTTTACATGCTGCTTTAGGATATCCTAATCTACCAGGATGGATCCAAAATGGCAGTCCATGCAGTGGAGGTTGGCAAGGTGTTTCCTGTGATCTCTCAAACATAGTTTCAATGTGTGAGCCCTTCATATGCTTCTGAAATCCTTGGTAGCAGATCAAATGGAAATGTTAATTATTCTTACCATTTCTTTGTGTGCAGAATAATCAATGGAGCAAATTTGGGTGGTGAATTGGGCACTGATTTAGGATCATTTTCCTCTATCAAAATAATGTAAGCCATAAATCAATTTCTTAATGATATTGTTTCTTTGTATATTGTGTCCATATATAACAAGTGTGCACTGCTTATGGTGCAGAGATCTAAGTAACAACCATATTGGAGGCGCAATTCCATCCAAGCTACCCCTCACATTGGAAAAGCTGTATGTTTTATACTTTTATATGTGATTATTCCTTAAATAGTAATGATTAAATTCCCATTATTTTTTCATTTTAAAACATAATTGTTACCAATGAATATGTAGCTGCCTGATTAATTATTGGTCACGGTGTTGATAACTGATCATTGCCCGTTGATGGTAGCATAAGTGACATTCTGGTTATAAAATTAAACATTAACATTTTTGTCGAATGTGCTGTTACTAAGTAATATATAAGGAGTTTTTCATTTTATTTGTATTTTTATAAATACATATACTATTAATATATATTTGGTGTATATGAAAAAAAATCCTCATACGTTGGAGGACTAATAGGTTTTACGTTTTTGCAGGTTTCTTTCAGATAACAATTTTACCGGAAACATTCCTGATTCCTTATCTTCACTGCCTAACCTCTTAGCTATGTATGTTTTTCTTCAATTTGTTTTACATGAAAGTATTGTTTATTTACTTGATTGCTTCCCGTAATCATTACTGACACTAACAAATGTAAAGCTTGTATTATTGTATGCAGTAATGCTTGTTTTTGGTGCATTAGTTTAGGTCTCTAAATAACAACCATTTAAGCGGAAAAATTCCTGATTCCTTTGAAGGCCTTGTCCATTTGGTCAACCTGTAAGATAATGCCATTGAGAAATTTCTTATGTGTTGCAACAGTTGACTTTTATTTTATTTTAGCATTGCTAATCTGGTTTTGTCAATTTTATTCATGCAGAGATCTGTTCAACAATAATTTGAGTGGGAGATTACCACCATCACTTCGGAACCTGTCATTGGTGACTCTGTGAGTCTTCTATATCCTGTGAAGAGTCTCACATGAAAATAAATACTACATATCTTATTAACATTTACTTTTTTAGAACAGCTGATCAATTAGACTCAATCTTTTAGTGTTAAGGTTTTTATCCACATAGTTATCAGAGTTTGGCCTGTTTGTGGTTGTATTTGTTTGTTTGACTGCCCATGATTTGGGATAGAACCTATAGACTCAATATTTAGCATTATAGCTCAGATGAGTGACCTCTAACCAATTATGATTCTGATAATTATAATTATGAATTCTATAATTCTATAAATACTTCAGTTTGATGTTTCTCTTAGTTTCGGCCTGTAAAGCTGACGGTTTGATCACCAGTCATTTGCAGAATAATCAGCTTTCTGGAACCCTGGATGTTTTACAAGATCTTCCACTTACAGAATTGTACTTCGCCGAACTATATCTCTCTTAATAGGTCATACTTATTGCATGTTAAAAGTGAATTAGTTTTCTTCTAACACTTGTCCCCCCCCCCCCCCCTTTCAGAAATATAGAAAATAACCAGTTTTCTGGTCCCATACCTCAGAAGCTCTTGGCCATTCCAAATTTCATGTAAGTTCCGAAATAAACACACTTGAATTAGAGTTCTGCTCCAAAAACAACTTGTCCCCCGTCCAAAAAAAAGTGAAAAAGAATGAGATTTCTTTTTAGTATAGTCATGACTTATAACTCATAACTCTTATAACTCTTATACCCAGAAAACATTAAAAGTGATAAATGTATTTAACAAAAATATAAAACATAAAGTTTTAAGTATTAGTCATGACTTATAACTCTTATAACTTAGTATGATGAAATATGAAAGTTTTTGCGCGATGAATGTAGGTTTGACTCTAGTTTTAAGAAAATAAAAGATGGTGATAGTTTTACAATTCTAACTTTCAAAAAGTAAGAAAAGGTAAGACCAGGTTTATTAAAAAGTAGAGTGAAATGATAAAGGAATAAAGTGGGAAAGAAAAAAGTCACTAGAGTTTAATTTATTAAAGTTTTCGATTTTTGGAACAATCCGAAGAGGAACGTGTCTCTTAGAAAATGGGAGGCAGGGTGAAGAGTTTCCTAACAAATAAAGTAGTGCAATGAAATCTGAAAACTTAAATTTAGTACTAGTATATAGCTTGCTTGAGAAAATGTTCAATGAGACTTCTCAATCACCTACATTCTGAGGGTTGTTTAATTGGGGGATTTTCGAGGAACGGGTAGGGGAGAATTGATTTTTGGTTAATTAATTTATCTTCACATATGAGTCTCAAACTAATAAATGTTTAATCAATCAATCAATCTATATCTATATAAATTTTCATCTTCATTTATTCTTCAATAATATGATAATAATATTAAATTAGTAAAGTAAAACTACTCCTCCTCTCCCTCTCCTCCAATATCCCTCAAACCAAACAATGGCTAAATGTGTGTAAAAAACAGGAAAGATGGGAACCCCCTAAACGGTAGTATTGCTCCTTCGCCTCCACCAACACCCTCCATACCACCTTCTGCATCTCCACCAACGCCCTCCATACCACCTTCTGCATCTCCACCAACGCCCTCCATACCACCTTCTGCATCTCCACCAACGCCCTCCATACCAGCTTTTGCATCTCCACCAACGCCCTCCAAACCACCTTCTGCAGCACCACACTTTATTGTGGCTCCCATGTCTGTGCCAGCCCAACCAAACACTGCAAGCGGGCCGGGAGTACAGACTTACGGACAATCACCAGCTGAAGGTCCAATGTCAAATAAAAACAAGAGCTCAGGATCCACTAAAAGGATAGTTTGGATTTCAATTGTGTCTATAATATCATGTATAGTATTGGTTTTGGCAGCCTTGCTTTGTTTGCCGAAGCGCCTTTGGGAAAGGAAAGGCACACACGATGTAGTGAAAAAAGGTAATGCAAATTTTAGAACATATCATTTGATGTATTAAGACTAAGGTTTCATCCTAAATAACAAGCTTATAGGTGAAGAATTGTCTTATATGATGGTTTATATTTTCAGATTATATCAATCATGCATCTATATTTCTTATAAATTTGTTGTTTTGAACAGCTCTTGAAGCGGTAGAATCAAACGTAAAGGGCAAGTTAAGCAAGTTGGCTTCCCCTGTGAAGCCATATGCTCAGGTGCTGGATGTACTTAAGCCAATTCCAAGTGGAAGGCATGAGACAATCATGAGCATATATGATAAAGATGAGATACCACCACCACCTCCTCCTCCCATACCACAACCACCAAAGGAGGTTACAGGTGCACAACAAACCATAGTAAAGCATTCAATGACACAACTGCCTCCGTCGTACTCAGTTGCAGATCTTCAGCAATATACCAATAGTTTTTCTGAAGATAATGTTATTGGAGAGGGAACACTGGGAAAAGTGTTTAAGGCAGAGCTTCCTGATGGCAGAGTATGATTACTAACTAAAATAAATAATGCTAAATTGTTATGGCAAAACTGACACTAATAATCCTACTTTTAAGCATTTTACAAAATAATCCATTAAAGAAAAGTTCACAACAATAATTCTAACTCGTAACCATTCAGAATACCGCAAGCTAATAACGTTAGCTTTTTTTTCTTTGCATTTTCAAAGTGAAACACAATTATTATTTATTAATGATACTATACTTGATCGTAGACTTATTTCCACTATTAGTTTAATATTATATTTTTTTCATGATATATTTTATAATTGTTTGATAAATACTCATCAAATTCATTTTTACTCTTTTATTTCTTATCAATTTATTTATCATATTTAAACTTGTTATCTTTGTTATAATGGAGCAATTAAATTAGTTTTAATAATACTAAATTAAATGTTAATAAGAAATATATGACAATTACTTTTCTCTTCAGTGATATTTGTAATTGGATATCTCTAATACATTGGAATGGATAAAATAGTGATTTATTTGTAAAAATTTAAGTTTATGTAAGACATTTTCTAACCCTTTACATGTTATAAAACAAGTTCAAAATTTGGACATTAATAATCCCAAGTTTGGAAAACTGATCGTAAATAATCTAAACGTGTTTATAGTTTCACAAAAATGAACTAACATAACGGAAAGTTAACACCGTTAAGTGGCGGTTCACTTTTTCCGAAGTAGTTGACGAGTATGGATTTTCGTCGTTAACATTTCCTATTTTTATAAATAAAATAGGTAAAAGTATGGATTATTAATATCAAATTATCAACTTTAAGGGGTCTTGCTGTCTAAGATTCATGATATTCAATGCGTTATTGTATAAAATAATTATTTAATGATTTAGGCAGCATTCCTTTTATCTTCCTTCATCATCTATTTGCAAATTATTTTAATTAGTGCATGTTTGGTCTTGTTTTATAGGCTTTATTGATCATAGATTGATTAGATTCATAGCCTAAAATAGTAAAATGGTTGTGCCTGCAATTTAATTGAGACGAAATTTAATTTTGCATCTTTCATCTTTCATCATTGACTCCTTATCAGTTCAGATTGTTCTAGGCCTACTTGTAGGATTCTTTCTGGAGGGATTTTCTACAAAAGACGCAAATGAAGTTTCTTATATTTCCCTAGAACATAAATTATGCTACTCGATTTATTCTTATTAATGGTGTTTATTCCTTTTAAATTAACTTCTACATATATTAGTTAGTCGAAGGCAAGTCAAAGTAAGAAATTGCAAAGAAAAACATGATTTGACTAAGGAGATACTCATCTATCCCATATTAACATCATTATCAAACATTACCCCAGTAGTGCAAAGGCTCCCACCTTCGGTGGGGTAAGGGAAGGTCGGATGTACACAGCCTTACTCCTGTATTAAAGCAAAGAGACTCTTTCTGGATGACCCATGGTGAAAATTGTGTCAAAAATTACATGAACTAACTGTGCTGCTTATAACAAAGAAGCGCAAATAATTTAGTGATCTATTTCACCATATTTCCAAGCCAAAAATAGTGAATCTTTTGGCTCCATTGCAAATGGAAAAAGAATGAATACTATGTATCTGATATTTGTTTAGAAGAGAGAGAGAGAGTATTTAGTTTCTAATATAACACTAAGGGATATGGATACATGAGTAAAAAATTAACCTCTCTCATTCACTCACCTCCAAAAATCCCCAACTCAAAGTCTTAAACAAGTGGTTAGTTTGTTTGGCACTCATAGTTTGGGTAGGCAGGTAGGCCCATTTTGAGTCAGTTTGACCCGGTGTGGAGTAGGGGTGTGCTAGATATTTGTCCCACATTAGCTATATACGGAGTATAAAATATTAAACTAATACGGAGTATATAAGATAATGGGCTAATCTCCCATCGGATTAAACTTATTAAGCTTTTTGAATGGAACTTCAATTCTTAATACTAAGTTAGTAGGAGAACATCATAAATACATTTTCACCTCATCTCCGCTCTCAATAAATAGCCAAGCCCAGGTCTTAGTCTTTGTGACATATCACAAATATTTCATAATGCATGATTGGCATCTGATGACACTCACTCACTGTTTTGATGGTTTTTTAGCTTCTTGCTGTGAAGAAACTTAATAAGAGAGTCCGTGATGGGCAAAATGATGAAGAATTTCTGGCTCTAGTAAGCGACATTGATAGAATACGCCATGATAATGTTGTTCAGCTCGATGGATACTGTGCAGAGCATGGCGAAAGACTGCTGGTCTATGAGTATTGCAGGGAAGGTACATTGCACAATGCACTCCACACACCTGATAAAAAGCTTTCATGGAATATGCGCATCAATTTGGCCCTTGGAGCCGCTAAGGCCTTGGAGTAAGTAGTGATATATTATTCTATTATGTAATGTTAGTTAAAACTTACAAAATATTTAGAGCTAGTTTGGTAACATTAAAATTTGCTGAAATTCGTGAAGCTGTAATTGAAATGCCTGAACCCGCTAAACTGTGAAATAATTATATTTAAAACCTATTTTATTAATAAAATAAATAAGAAATTATATGAAAAAGCTAAAAATATTCTTTTCATCAAATTTAGATAGAAAACTAGCTTCATTCTTACTTATTATTGCACAATTTAGTGAACCAACACGCCAAATAAAATTTTTAGTGTTTGGCTCATACCTTATAGAACATGCACTTAAACAGGTTGGCTATCATATGCACTCGTGCATTGAAATAAGAACAATTTAATACACTTATTAACTCCAATAGATAAACAAATTAGTCATACCCCAAAAAGTCATACTGTGTGGGCCAAAGATTAAAATTTCAGCATATGTTTTTATTGTTTATCCATATTTTTCATATATATGTGCTAGAAAAAAACGGGGGGGGGGGGGGGGGGGGGCTGAGGGCCCCTCCCTGTGGCCCTGTGTATAAGGATATTCACTTTTAATTTTTAAATTAATAGAGAAAGTAAAAGCATTCTAAAATTTCGAACATTTAAAAACAATTTCAAAAGTTTCATTAAAAAAAATACCCAAATTTGAAAAGCACGAAATTATATTTTTGAAAAATGAGTAAAGAAAGAAGAGTGAGAGTGTGAGACTAATCAGGAGATGGAACATTTAGTTAGTTAAACTAATAAAAAAAACAAGGAATTTGACCATTAATTAAGTTAGTTAAATCCTTTAATAGTTTAATTTCATTCCTAAAAAAGAATACATCATGTCTAAATAGAGGTCAGTAACAAATATGTGGAATGACAAAAAAACCACTTCGAATTCTAATTTAATCTCAATGTTAAATGTATAATTATTCGTCTTAATTTAATTAAAATAGTACAACCTTGATTACTGAAGGTACCTACATGAGACATGTGACCCACCAGTTGTTCATAGAAACTTCAAGTCTTCAAATATTCTCCTTGATCATAATGATGATGGTGATCTTGTTGTTCACATCTCTGATTGTGGGTTGGCTCCATTGATGTCATCAGGGGATGTCAGTCAGGTAATTAAAATATGGATTGAGAACGGTATAATAATCATTTCTCCCCTTTTTCGGAGGTGCTTAAGAACTTATTCATATCTAAATATTATTATGGGTTTCTTGGATCAAGCAGTTATCAGGACAACTTCTTACAACATATGGGTATAGTGCCCCTGAATTCGAGTCGGGGATTTATACCTTAGAGAGTGATGTGTACAGTTTTGGAGTTGTAATGCTAGAGCTTTTAACCGGCAGATTGTCATATGACAGGTAAAACCCATAACATTGCTTCTTTATTTTGAGTGTGAAACAAATAGTGCTTTAATTATGGGGTGCTTAGAATTAATTCTGCTTTTACTTTTGTAAAAACAAAAGTAGAATCAGAATCAGTTTTTCAGAAACTGGTTTTCCTGACTTCTCAAAAGTTACTTCTAGGGTTAATTTGGAGCACTCAGAAGTATTTATGCACTTCCACTCAAACACTCCAATATATGCTTCTCTCACCTGAAGGAGCAGAAATAGTTTTAAAAAGCAGATCCAAACATCCCTTAAACACATACAGTATTTTGTTATGTAACCACTAGCATTACCAACTGTTTCATTGGTGTCTTTATTAGGAGTCTGAGTGGTGGAGAGCAGTCCTTGGTGAGATGGGCATCCCCTCAGCTTTATGATATTAATGCCTTGAAAATGATGGTTGATCCTTCTCTTAAGGGAGACTACAATGAGAAATCACTCTCAAACTTTGCGGACATCATCTCTAGCTGCGTCCAGAAGGGACCTGGGTTCAGGCCTCAAATGTCTCACGTTGTACTAGACATCATCAAAATGATGGACCAAGACTTAATTCTAAGAGCCGAAAGATTAAAGGCCAGGACATTGGATGACTTGGATTGTCATAACATGTCAACCATGGCTTGACAAAATCAATGTTTCTATATCCTACCAAACAAACAAGACATGGTAAATGAGTAACCAAGTTACCAAACACCAAGCAAATATTAAGGCGGTGTCTTGAGGTACATATATACATATACTCGACGGCTATAGTTTTTGAACATAATTTGACAGATTTGAACCCGAGACCTTTGGTATTGACATTCGTTTCCTGTTAAAAATTAAGATGATAATTGTGCGCTACACGCTTATGTTCTAGGTTTGTGAATTGTGATGAGGTGAGTTTGAACCTTTTTTGGTTTGTTTTTTTATGCCTTGGGAAGAAAGCATATAGTAAAATAACTTTAATAAGAATAAAAGTTACAGACCAAAACCAAAAGCCAAAGGTATCCAATGACCCAGTCTTAGAACCCACTCCAACATAGGACTGAATGGATTACTGACCATCAATCCTGTAAGAAGGCAATGCAAGTAGAGCTAATAATGTTGGTGAAGTGCAATTCGAAAGAGAAATTATTACAAATAGGAGAGTTGTTATACCGTGCGATCATCCCACGGTGAGCATACTACTCCCTACCTATAAAATGGTGTCATTTAGATTTAAACTTTAATTAAAAAAAATCACGTGAACAACACCCTTACATTTGTCTCAATTTTTTCGTGATGTAAATCCTTTGTATTGAAATGTAACTCGGGTCATTGTGAAATGTAAATCCAATGTATTCAAATTAGTGATGGACCCGGGCCGGGCTGGTTCCGATTCGGGCCTGAGCCTGGCCGGACCTTTGTTTGGAAATAAGGGAACCGGAACTGGCTCGAGTGGTTGGCGGTTCCGGGTTGGGCCGGGCCACCCGGCGGTTTACCGGGCCAGGCCGGGCCGGTTCCGGGCTTTTTAATTTTTTTTGTTGATTCTTAAATTGATGTACACAATGACATAAAAAGATTCAAGTATATTTATTTCAAATAAGAAGTACAATTGAGAATTAGGATGAATTTAATAAATGTAATAAATTTTGTAATAAGTAATCAATTAGAATCTCCGCCTTTGGTTGTTTCCTCCATAAAGTGGCGGGTGGGAGCGATGCTCATTTCTTGAGTTCTTCGTTGGACCTTCAACCAATCGTGGAAGCAAACTAGCGTCTCAAGAGAGCTCGGGCTCAATCTCGTTCTATAATCGATTAGGACTTTGCCGGCCGCACTAAATTCTTGTTCCACGGAAACTGTTGATATCGGCATTGCTAGCACTTGCTTAGCCATCTTTGATAAAACCGGGAATGTTCTTTCATTTTCCTTCCATCACTTAAGAACGTCAAAGTCATCCCCAACTTCATAATCAACATTCAATGTTAGATACAAAGAAAGCTCGTTAACTGAGCTTTGTTCATTAGCGGGAGTTGCTTTACTTTTTTTCAAAAGAGAACCAAATGCAGATTTTAAAAGTGATTTTCCTTCAGATGAAGAAGATGTTCGCGGCAGGGGAGGGGGTGCATTACCATATTGTGCATAAAATTCATTATACAATTGATGAAATAAATTACTAACCTCGTTGAATTCTTGTTTAGGGTCTATGGGATTATCATCGAACTCTTGAGTTGGGAAAAAAGAAGCATAATAGTAATCTATACAAGTTCCCAAGTAAGCAAGTTTATAATGAGGATAAAAAATAAATGCAATACCATATATATGCGGAATATGTGAATAATATTTTAAAAACTTTTGTTTCATAAAATCACAAAAATAACTAACATAAGCGGCATCGGCAAATTCACAAAAAAGCGCCGGCGAGATTGACAACTTCAACAAAAAAATCGTTTGCGGTAGGTTTATAAACATGACTAAAAGTTTGAGTTGCATTATTAAAATATGCCAAACCATTAACAATTTTTTCACAAGTGTTGATGTCAGCCGGGTTTCTAATGTAGTTACAAGATTGTCTTAAAAAAGCAGGAAAATGATCTTTATATCTACTAAGTACTTTAATTACGTTATAAGTACTATTCCAACAAATAGACAAATCTTTAAGAAAAGCACAATAATTGACACGTCTATCCTTCAAATATTGCCGTCATTGCATTTTTAGTGGAGTATTAGCCCAAATCAATTTAATACCCCCCCTTTACTACCTCCAAAGCATTCCCTAATGCCGCTAACCCATCTTGTACACACAAATTTAGAATATGACATGCACAACGTTGATGAAAAAACTTACCCATCAATGTAGAAGTATCACACAATTCACGCAATATAGGTATAACAGCAGTATTATTACTAGCATCATCAAAACCTACAACAAACACCTTATCAATCAAATTATGCTCAATTAAAATACGCTCAATGAGAAGATAAATATTATCAGCAGTGTGACGATCATTGAATTCACGAAAAGCAAGAACATGTTTATGCATATTCCAATCATCATCAATATAATGTGCAGTAAGATCCAAATAATATAAATGATATGATAAGTATCCTCCCATGTATCGCTACAAATACTAACACGTCCATCAAAGTTTGCGAAAAATGTTTGTAATTTTTCTTTTTCCAAGTTATATTGCCTTATAACTTCTTTTTTAATCGTTTTGCGACTATAATTTCTAAATTGAGGATTTAAAGTACCTTGAACATAATCTCTTAAAGCAAGACTTTGGGAAAAAAAATATATATAAGGTAAATTTTCTTCAACAATTAAATGAGACATATCAGTCAAATGCTTTTTATCATCATAAGAGAAATTACCAAAGGGTTGAGAATTTGCAAACCTCGATATTTGTGTTTGTTTCCCCCTGCCTTTGTCTATTTTCGCGTACTCCACTAAGTGCGCGGACTTAAGATGCCTTTTCAGACTCCCGTATCCACCAGAAGTTCCCAAGTTATACTCTTTGTTGCAATGATTGCAATGATTGATGTCTTTTGCACTATTTTATTCACGATTGATGTCTTTTGGATGTTCCTAAATAAAGTCATATTTCTTTATTTGCTAAACAAAATAGTGCAAAATAATGTCATTTGCTTAATATGCATGAGTGCATGTCAAAGTTGGAACTTTAAATAGGGACGGAGGAAGTATTAATATACACTTATAAAACTTATAATAAACTAACATTTCAATAATATATACACAAATGAAGCATTCAAAATTATTTTGGTATTATAAAATAATATCATCTTTTAATATTTAACCTCAAAGTTAACTATTCAAAGTTAACAAAGTATTACACAAATTAAAAGACAAACTGTGAATTTAATTGTGGAACAGAGGGAGTATAAAATTTGATTAAGTTATAGCTCATAATCATGTACTCCCTTTGTCCCTTAAAATTCTTCTCACTTACCATTCTAAGATGTCTCAAAAAATTCTTCTCATTTTTTGAAAAGTTTGTGTGGTTAATATTAATTTACTTTTTTCTTATTCAATCACAACCATACATTTTCACTTTATTCCCACTTTCTTAAGCTCCAATCATGTCAAATAAGAAAGAATCTTATGGGATGAAAGTAGAACTTTGTATTAATATTTAATGTAGTAGTATTAAAATACTTTTGAAATCTCTATAATAATGAAAAACACAATTGAATATAAATAAATATTGATAAGAAATAAAAGATAAAAGAGAATTTGATGAGCATGTTCAAATATTTCTACTATATTTTATGAAAAATATTGAATATTAAATTTATTTATAGCATAAATTATTTTAAGTTCCAATATAAATTCTTTCTAAAAAAAATTACGTAGGATCATATATGTAATTCTTTCTATTGTTAATGCTTATATATATTTTTGCTTCATTATATTTAAAATAAAATATATAAACTAGCACCGTTAACTCTTAGTTTGTTGCACAACAAAAAAACACTCTTGATTCGTTTTGGTTTAGTATAAAACTAGTGAGATTATTGTTGTGATCCATTTCAGCAAAGATTATTATTTTTGTTAAATGCATGAAAGTAAAGGTTATTTTTGTTAACATCCCTTATTTTAACCATATTGATGGAGTATATGGCCCGGGAACCCCCGGCCCATGGACTCCTACTTCTCCTGCACAAGTCCGTTGAGCCCAGAGAACAACTCAGGCCCAAATGCAACGGCCCGAGCCTCAAAGTAACCCAGAACACACACTGGGGTGCCTTCGGCCTCCTTGGCCGAAGGCTCCAAAACTCACAGGATAGCCTTCTCTAGCATAAGAAGCTACTGGGAGAAAACGGCGAAAAACATGAGCCTTCGGCATTATCGAGCCCTCGGCATCAGAGAGGCCTTCGGCTGAACAAAGCCTTCGGCCACACAAGGCCTTCGGCTACACAGGGGTCCTCGGTTACACGGAGCACTCGGCTACACCAGAAGCCTTCGGCCAAGCATGCTCAATCATCGAAGATTCCTTTTGGGGACAGCCAACCACCGCATTTAATGCCACGTCACATCCGCCAACCGCATTCAATGCGGTGAACGTACCGCTGCCGGTGCCACCAGGCTGATGTGACCCTTCGGCCGTTGGATTACTGACACGTGTACTCTCATCGCATTTATTGCTGCTATAAATAGCAGCCCATTTCTCCTTGTAATCTACATCACAACCTACATCTCAACTCCACACGCTGAGTTCATTTAATAAATCGACTCTCTCTCCTCCTATTTTGCTCTGACTTCTCTCTAGTTATTCCTGCAATAACCCCTCGGATAAGATACCCCCCGGGTAGACTATCCATCATTTGGTGCTCTCGTTGAGAGGTCTGAACTATCAAGTAAGAAACCCTCCCCCTCTACCAAACACAAGACACTTACCAAAAATGGGAAGAACCACCCGTGCCCAGTCCAAAACCCTTGAGGAGAACCACATAGCCCCCGGCGAAACCATTGGGGCTGAGGCCTCCAACAGGCTCTTGGTACCCGAGGGTGGTATCATCCTTGAGTTGGAGCAGGCTACTGCTGACCTCCGTCAGCAACTACAGAAGAACGCCCCTGATGCCCGCATTGGCCTTGATAATCGAAGGAGGGATCGGAGTGAGAACCAAGTTCCCCCTCCGGCCCCGGCCATCGATCTTCAGGCTGCCTTTGCGGCCTTTGTTCAAAACATGGCTCTCAATTCCGGAGCCCTCGCCTCTCAGACACCCCTCCAGCCCTACGCTGGAGGAAATGTTATTCAATTGCCACCGCTCCCCCCTCTGTTCAACAATCCTCCCCCGGGGATTGGAAACGCCGAGGGGGTCATGGCGCAGGATATATACCGCCTCCCAAGAGGCCCAATCCAGGGACAAGCGCC